AAGGCCCCGCCAATCAGCTGTGCGAAAATGGGGCATTTGCGATGATCGCTTCCCCGCGATCATCACAAAGCGAATTTTCCCCATAGGGGCCATCGCAATGCGATCGCTCTTGCGATGGCAAAAAGTCCATCGCAAAGCGATTTCATCATAAAACGGAGTGATCGCTATGCGAGGCACCACTGTATTTGAATGTGAATACTATCTCTAGTATATTTGCCATGTTGTCCCACTCTTATGTCCGAGGAAGGCCATGAAAGCTCATGTTAAAACATAGCAGTTAGTCTTTAAGGTGCCTTAACATTTTTGTCTTCGTATTTATTTATTTATTTATTTATTTAATTTTTACCCCGCCCATCTGGCCTAAAAGGCCACTCTTTTTGCCTGAGATGCTACTACAGCTGAAAGCGGATTCACAAGAAGCATCTCCTATACGCTCTGCTATAGTCTGGGCAATACAAGCAATTTGAATCTAGTGCAGAAATCCTGTCAGCAACAAGGCTGGAGGATTCCACCCCACCTGCACTCATTTTCAACAATATTCTCAGCAGTCTATGGCAAAGAGTGCATGTTTACTCTTTTGACAGAGCAGAGGGGAACATCCAGCACTAATTAGCTCCACAGAGGTTCTCCATCTATCCTGCTATTTTGTTTATCTCTCTCTCTCCGATCAGTGAGCCAAAAGAAAGAAACATTCTAGGAAGCTCCTGCGATAAAACAAGCTCTGATTCACTCAGCTTTCATGGAGCTAGAGCTCTCAAATTTAGAGTACTGAAATACAAATTGTATTTGTTCTTATAGGAGGATAATAAGTTATTAATTGTTCTATTACAAGCATATCTACCAAGTGAATCTCAACATGATTTTAAGAATTTCCTTATGCATCTGAATATAACAATATGGTACAAACTTTTAAAACTAGAATATGTAAACAAAAATGGAAAATTATTTTCTGTCGGAATTCCAAGATGATAAAGGAGAGCAACTGAGATAAAAAGAGCACCAAGAAAAGTTCCTCTGTTCAGTTTACACTCAAAGTCAACAGAAGCCTCTAATCTAAACCTGGGCAAAGTGCAGCCCGTGAGCCACTGCTGTCCGGCCCGCCGGTCGTCACTCCAGTCTGGCCAGATACCACAAAAGACCTCTTTAGTATTTGTGAAGATTAACAAGTTTAAAATAAAAACAATCATAATATCACCGTTTCATTTTATTTTTAAGTAAAGTTGGTTCGGCCCCTGAACACAGTTCAGATTTTTCATGTGCCCCCCCCACAGAAATTAATTGCCCACCCCTGCTCTAATCAAATGTTAATGGCCATTTTACTGACTACAGGCCCTAGAGAGTCTCAGGAAAATAAAAATATTACAAACAGCATGCTGTGATGCATATTATAAGTTCCCTCTGTATGTACTTAGCATCTGCAAAGCTAAGCCATGCATATTGCAGCTTTGCTGGAGCAGAGCAAAATGAATGAAATCATACTCACCATTGAGCCTGGGCAAAATACATTGTGTCATCAATATGCATCCCATCAGTAACAAAATAGAAACCAAAGAGACTTGTGTCTGTGTAGCACGTGTTGAAGGACTGGAAAAGTTGAAATAACTTTTTTTGTGCACCAATTACGGCCATCGTATTGGACTGATGCTGTAAATTGATAATTCTAAGATGTGAGGGTGATTCAGTTATCCACAGTACTAAGCTTAAATTTATAAAAAAGTCAAACATGAAACAGAAAACATACAAATAATTGTCCAAAGAAAATATAGATAAAAGCCACATACATTGATTCTGGAAAAGAACAGCTCTATTGATAACTTGGAAATCTAAGTGAAATATCTATAATGGGGAAGACATGCAATTAGAGAGCAGCTCAGAGCTGGCATGTGGGAAGGCCAAATCTTTGCCACAGGCTACAGCTGCTATGTTGAAAACTGGCGGCATCGCTAATAGAAAGAGAAGACTGGCTACAAGACAGTACAATATTTTATGAATATTAAACCATTTATCCCATTACAAACTACACTGATTGGCAGCAGTTCTCCAAGGTTTGTTGTTATTATTATTTATTTGATTTCTATACCGCCCATCTGGCTACCAAGGGCACTCTGGTCTGTTCACAATAGAAAATAAGGTAATAAATGACATCAACAAATCAAAATATGTCAAAATTAAGAAAAATACTTAACATTATAAATTACTTATAAACATTATGGACTTAAAAATAAGCCACAACAAAAACCAGTCAAGATGGCAGAATCACTAGTTTACAATATATCATCCCGCTAGCATCTCACCTGACCAATTTGCAGGGTTTTTTAATCAAAGGTGGAGGCCATCCGCCGTGACCTTTCTCCTTTTTTTAAATACAATGGATCGAGCAGAGATGTCCAGCTCTCCTTTCAGCCTGTGACACCAGATGTGGTGGACAAGGCGCTTGATCGCTGTCGGGCCACCACTTCTTCTCTTGACCCTTGCCCGCCCTGGCTAATCAAAGCAGCCAGGCCTGTAACAACTGAATGGGCCACTGCAATAATTAATGGGTCTCTTCAGGAGGGCAAGGTCCCCCTTGCCCTCAAGGAGACACTCATTAGGCCCATTCATTTTGCGAAGGGAGGGAAGCCATTTTGCAAAGGGAAGCCATTTTGCGGAACCGGAAAAAAATCATTTTGCGAACAAACGGTTCGCGAAGCAGGCACCTAATCGACATAAAGCAAAAAAAAACAAAACAAAACAACCGTAGGAACCATTGTATTGCGATCGCTATAGTGATCGCAAAAAATTGTCGTCAAGCGATTTTGTCTTCAAGTGGGGTCGTTGTCAAGCGGTGCACTACTGTACCCTGCATGGCAGACCTTCTTAATGGGTCTCATCTCCCCACGAGGGGGTAGTGTCGCCAAGAGGCTGCATTTGATCAGGTGGTGATCTGACCATGACAGAGGGACTGACACAAGGTCGGTCACTCTTGGGTCACTCTCTCCAGGTCCAGTATATTACCTGTCATATGGGTGGGGCCATTGACAAATTGGGACATGTCCAAGGAAGCCATAGTTTCCAAGAACTCAAGATCTGGTCTGATAACCTCAGCCTCATCATGGATGTTGAAGTCACCAAGATCAACAAGTCTGAGGGGCCTCAGCTGCACCGCCAAGACAAAGCCTGCCAGCTCCGGAAAGGAGAGTGATGGCTTGCAGGGAGCATAGTAAACCAGCAGAATCCCAGTTCTACTCCAGCATTATTGCCCATTAATACCCTTTATATAAAGATCACAAAAGCTAAACTTGGAGATGGCTCTTTACGAGATCTCTTTGGCAACTACCATAAGGCATCAAGGAGTACACTATACAGTGGTGCCTCGTTTAACGAGTGCCCCGTTTAACGATGAATCCGTATAACGATTCATCTTTTGCGATCGCAATACGATGTTTTAAATGGGGGGAAATCGCTTTGCGATGATTGTGGGGAAGCGCTTCCCCACGATCATCACAAAGCCCCCACTGATCAGCTGTGTTTCAGGGGATGGAGAGAGCGAGCCCCGAAGAGCAGCTGATGGGCGGGTTTTTTTGCGAAGCTGGCTTTCGAGCCAGCTTCGCAAACCCCTCCCCGCCGCCCGTCAGCTGTTCTTCGGGCTACCTCTCTGTCCGCTCCGATCTCCAGCCCTGGCAACCCATTTTGGCCGCCGAACAGCTGATCGTCGGGCTTCGTTTTGCGAAGATCGGTAAGCGAAACGCTTACCGGTCTTCGCAAAGCGAATTTTGCCCTATTAGAAAAACGTTAAGCGAAAAAACGGATCGCTATGCGATTTCATCGTTATATGGTGCGCTCGTTAAGCGAGGCACCACTGTACATTTATGCTCTTGATCAAAATAAAACATGCATTCTGTGCTTCTGTTCTCATATTCTCAGGTGCATGAAAATATCAGATAGTTGTCATGGGAAGTTAAAATGTTCTGCATCTGCCAAAGTACACACATATAATGACAGGCTAAAAAGCCTCAATCATAATCTTTTTATTCAGGACAGCAGGAATGGTAGTACACTTCTACAATCAGTAAACACAGCAACATTATCGGGTAGCTACATTCTACACAATGTTTTCATTTCATCCCATGGGACCTGAAATGAAAACATGCAGTCTTGCCCCTTCTCCAAACCTGCTTATCTCAACACAAAACAGAAGATAAAGAGAAACATACATTCTTGTCTTAGTGTCTTACCTTGTTACTACAAGTATGATCATAGTTCCCAACGAGTGCGCTAGCTACTAGGAGAGGAAAAATATCTGGATTTTCCCAGCCTGGCCCCTCCACTGCAACAGCAACATGAGCCAATGGAAAAGCATCATCTCTGTCTTCGATCTAAAATACATTACAGATAGAAAAGGAGATCAAAATGTACAGTTGAATCTGTTCTGTAAAAAGGCAAAGATATTTCTTTTTGTTTATTAGAGCGAAGTCAAGCCTATGTTCACATTTTTAAAAGTATTTAAAGCATTTTCATTCTACATCTTAATAAACAATTTTAGGGTAACAAACATGAATTCAAGGTTCAGGTGAAATTGTGTTCACCATCCTTTCTCATACCAGTTATTAATGATATAGGATGGAAAAGAAGATGGGAATTTAAGCCAGAGAAAGGAGTAGGAGAGAGCCTGTACACACAGCCTCTAGTCTGTTTCTAACCTTAACCTAGGCTTCAATATTATATATTGTTGGTTTCAAATTATCACCCACTAGCTTCTTAAAATACTTTGTTCAAACAGAGTTTTGGAAAAATGGCTAAAAGGAGAGTTCAAGACTAAACTATCAAGAGGCCATTTGACTAGTTTTTAAAAATACTCAGTTGGGCACTCCATATAGCTCTTTCCAACATTCACATTCCATTTGATTAAGGTGCTAAGTAATGAAGACTCTACCTCACTCCCAGTGAAGCGGCAAGGTGAAAGGAGAGGGGGTGAAATTTCCTTGTATTCATAAGGAACACTGCCGAAGTGCTGCTTAGCAAGGTCCACAAGTTGTTTATGATCAACACCTAGCAAAAAGAACAAAAAGGCTAACAGCAATCAAAAGATGACTTCTAAGAAGAGAACTTTAAAAATCAATTTTCAGCAGCTTCAGTAACTATGTTAAAATCATATTCCCTTAATGGGATTTATTGTTGTTGTTTAGTCGTTAAGTTGTGTCCAACTCTTCATGACCCCATGGACCAGAGCACGCCAGGCCATCCTGTCTTCCACTGCCTCCCGGAGTTGGGTCAAATTCATGTTGGTAGCTTCAATGACACTGTCCAACCATCTCATCCTCTGTCGTCTTCTGTTGTCCCCTTCTCCTCTCGCCTTCAGACTTTCCCAACATCGGGGTCTTTTCCAGGGAGTCTTCTCTTCAGATGGCCAAAGTATTGGAGCCTTAGCTTCAGGATCTGTCCTTCCAGTGAGCACTCAGGGTTGGTTTCCTTCAAAATGGATAGGGTTGTTCTCTTTGCAGTCCCGGGGACTCTCAAGAGTCTCCTCCAGCACCACAGCTCAAAAGCAACAATTGTTGGGCGGTCGGCCTTCTTTATGGTCCAGCTCTCACTTCCCTACATCGCTACTGGAAAAACCATAGCTTTGACTATCCAGACCTTTGTCTGCAAGGTGATGTCTCTGCTTTTTAAGATGCTGTCTAGGTTTCTCATCACTTTCCTCCCAAGAAGCAGGCGTCTTTTAATTTCATGACTGCTGTCACCATCAGCAGTGATCATGGAGCCCAAGAAACTAAAATCACTGCTTCCATATCTTCTATTTGCCAGGAGGTGATGGGACCGGTGGCCATGATCTTAGTTTTTTTGATGTTGAGTTTCAGACCATTTTTTGTACTCTCCTCTTTCACCCTCATTACGAAGTTCGTTAATTCCTCCTCACTTTCTGCCATCAGAGTGGTATCATCTGCATATCTGAGGTTGTTGATATTTCTTCTGGCAATCTTAATTCCGGCTAGGGATTCATCTAGTCTAGCCTTTCACATGATGTATTCTGCATATAAGTTAAATAAGCAGGGAGACAATATACAGCCTTGTCGTATTCCATTCCCAATTTTGAACCAATCAGTTGTTCCATATCCAGTTCTAACTGTTGCTTCCTGTCCCACGTATAGATTTCTCAGGAGATAGATGTGGTCCGGCACTCCCATTTCTTTAAGAACTTGCCAGAATTTGCTGTGGTACACACAGTCAGAAGCTTTTGTATAGACAATAAAGCAGAAGTCAATATTTTTCTGGAACTCTCTGGCTTTCTCCATAATCCAGTGCATGTTAGCAATTTGGTCTTTAGTTCCTCTGCCCCTTCGAAAGCCAGCTTGTACTTCTGGGAGTTCTCGGTCTACATACTGCTGAAGCCTACCTTGTAGGATTTTGAGCATAACCTTGGTAGTGTGTGAAATGAGTGCAATTGTATGGTAGTTGGAGCATTCTTTGGCACTTTCCTTCCTTGGGATTGGGATGCAGACTGATCTTTTCCAATCCCCTGGCCACTGCTGAGTTTTCCAAACTTGCTGGCATATTGAGTGTAGCACCTTAACAGTGTCATCTTTTAAGATGTTGGAAAAGAGTGTTTGTGATGACCAGCTTGTTCTCTTGACAAAACTCTATTATCCTTTGCCCTGCTTTCTTTTGAACTCCAAGGCCAAACTTACCTCTTGTTCCTTTTATCTCTTGACTCCCTACTTTAGCATTACACTCTCCTATAATTACAATAACATCTTTCTCCGGTGTCAGTTCTAGAAAGTGTTGTAAGTCTTCATAGAATTGGTCAATTACAGCGTCTTCAGCATCGGTGGTTCGAGCACAACCTTGGATTACTGTGATGTTGAAAGGTCTGCCTTGGATTTGTATTTAAATCATTCTATCATTTTTCAGATTGTATCCCAGTACAGCTTTTCCCACTCTTTTGTTGACTATCAGGGCTACTCCATTTCTTCTACGGGATTCTTGCCCACTATAGTTGATGTGATAATCATCTGAATTGAATTTGCTCATTCCCGTCCATTTTAGTTCACTGACGCCCAGGATGTCAATGTTTATTCTTGCAATCTCCTGTTTGACCACATCTAGCTTACCAAGGTTCATAAATCTTAGATTCCAGGTTCCTATGCAGTATATTTCTTTGCAGCATCAGACTTTCCTTTCACTTCCAGGCATGTCCGCAGCTGACCATCCTTTCGGCTTTGGCCCAACCACTTCATTAGCTCTGGATCTACTTGTACTTTTCCTTTGCTCTTCCTCAGTAGCATGTTGGCCGCCTTCCGACCTGAGGAGCTCCTCTTCTAGCGTCATATCTTTTAGCCTTTTGTTTCTGTCCATGGAGTTTTCTTGGCAAAGATACTCTAGTGGCTTGCCAGTTCCTATTCCAGGTGGATCGCATTTAGTCAGAACTCTCCACTATGACCTATCCATCTTGGGTGTCCCTGCACAGCATAGCCCATAGCTTCTCTGAATTAATCAAGCCCCTTCACCATGACAAGGCAGCAATCCATTAAGGGGATTTATTAGCTCAATCTAAAGGCCAGCTATTATAATTAAATTAGTACTAACCTCCAGCAGCTGCCAGAACCATACGAGGGGCCTTGTAATGATTTTCAATGAATTCTGTTAGATCTGCACGAGTCAAATTCCTATGGAAAATACACAACATTTTTCTTACACCCTGCAATATGCCAAAGAAGTAGAGAGTGTTGTCTGGAATGCCTCAGTATGCAACAGATGTTTACAGAGATTTCTTAATCTGAGGCAATTTGCTTTCAAAGTTACACCCTTTATGTAGCAGTACATGAGGATATATAAAAGGTATTGTAGATGCTGGCTATTTATAACTTTGGACTAGTCTGAAGCAACCAGAGGTCATTCCACTACTTTATAAGGAACAATCAAGCACATAATGAAAAAATTAAGGACTGTTTTACCAGTTCCACCACTCCTCCTGTGAATTTTCATAGTTAGGTGGGGATTTTAACCCAAGTCTCCTGAGTCCTGTCCCTCATTCTGTCCAACACACTATCTTCTTGTTCCTAGCCATAATCCCTTTTAATAGATGCTTGCTGAAATCAACCTTATATGATGTTTCATCCCTTTTTTTTAAAGCAAGCAGTTCTGAGGCAGATGTAAGTAGATATAATTACGATCTCAATCACAACTGTATCAGCATGAGAATGTGTACTGGGCTTAGAAATGAAAGACACCAGTGCGGATTTCTACTGAGTCACTTAGTCAGACAAATAATGTTCAATGCAGCAATGTTCCTCATTCTCAGTGCTTCATCTGAAAATAGGAACACTGACCAATCAATAATAAAAATTGCAAGAAATAAAGAACATCAAGCTTCCACACATTTCTACTGCTTAGCTATTCAATATTATTCTAATCATTCACCAAGACTGCTTTCTCCTACTGAAAAATGAAGTTTTTTTGTTCTACTCTGGAGTAAAAACAGTAAATTATTGTTCCTCTTCTTTTCACAAACCCCTTAAGCTGATGACTACAAAACTGATGGCAAATAAGCCTACATTACTGACATAAGCCAATTTTATCACAACTATATTAGTATAAAAACCAGTGCATTATTGCTGCAGAAGCATGTATATTATTGCTGCACAGGATGCAGCAATATATTGTGCTGATAGCAGCATTCCATAAGCCAAACAAAAAATAAAGATGGACCAAATTTGGCATGGATGTAGCAGAAAGTATATTCTTGCTCTGTGCCATTCACAAAGTGACACCACAATGGGGGAAAATCCCAGAAGCCAACTCCTTTTTTTCATTAGTTAACCAATCTTCAGGCAAACACAAAGCAACTGTCATGACTATTTTTCAACAAGAGTGAACGGTAGTGAACAGAAGAGGGTTATGCTGTAGACCGTTTTGGCTGCGGCCATTGGTGTAGTCAACATTCAGGCCACCCTTTGCTATTTAAAGCTTGACATCTTTTTTCCTGCTGACAATGTGGATACAATATTCTGCAGCGATACTAGGCCATTTCCTGGGTTTCTGAATCAGGGGTACAGAAGCACTATATTCCACATTCATAAACTGGAAGTTTTTTAAATTGAAGATTTTTCTTGGATCAGTTTTTTTTAAAAAAAAAATACAGAGTACACCACCTTGTCAATGCCCTTTCTACAGAAACAATTGCTTGGAAGCAGGCTATCTACAGTGGTGCCTCACACAACGATGTTAATTGGTTCCAAAAAAATCAACGTTGTGTGAAACATCGTTCTGTGAAACACCATTTCCCATAGGAATGAATTGAAAACCGGTTAATCCGTTCCAATTGGAACGGATTGCCATCGCTGAGTGAAAATCCCCATAGGAAACATCGCTGTGTGAAACAATGTTTCCTTCATTGGAATGTATTGAAGCCGACTCAATACATTTCAATGGCTTTGCGAAGTCCTTTTTCGCTCCTGTAAAAGTGTCTTACAATGTTTGGAAGCTGTTTTGAATGATTGCAATGGTTAGTCCACCTCCTGAAACCTATGCAAACTGATTTTGGTGTTGTTCTGACACTTCATTAATTTATGATGATTTTTTGTTTTTTCCATTGGAAAGCATTAGACAGACCATCCAATGGTTTCCAATGGAAAAAACAAAAAATCATCATAAATTAACGAAGTGTCAGAATAACACCAAAATCAGTTTGCATAGGTTTCAGGAGGTGGACTAACCATTGCAATCATTTAAAACAGCTTCCAAACATTGTAAGACACTTTTACAGGAGCGAAAAGGGAGATCGTTGTGTGAAAATCCCCCATAGGAAACATCGCTGTGTGAGGCAGCAAATTTAACAGAAAAAGGCATCGTTGTGTGAATTCATCATTGTGTGAGGCACTCGTTGTGCGAGGCACCACTGTATTTCAGGTCTATCAACTGACAATGAACCCTGTAACAGCAGAGGTAAATAATGGTCAACATTTTCCATGGAAACACAAATGTTGCTTTCATGTTTCTTAGGTCCACACCAACACCTATTATTACACCAGATTCACACAGCCTTTTCTCCAATTCTCTTTGAAACTATCATCTCCGTAAAATATAACCTATGTGTGGTGAGGAAATTATTTCTCCACACCCAAGAAACTCTTGTCTGGCCTTCTTACTTTATATTTGTAGTTGTTCCTTCAGGAGTCTGGGCCAAAGGAGTGCCCTGGTAAGCTGTAGCATGAAGGTAATCCGAGACAACATTGGACAAGCAGGTATCATTGTCTTCCATTTCCTGCAGGATGACATTCCGTTGCTTCTCAATCTGAGAGTCTTCCAGGTTCCAATTTTGTATTACATCACCCAGAATCTCTATTGCTTTAAAAAAAAGTGCTATCTGAGTATTCTTGTATCTTAAACCCAACAAGAAAACATACCTTCTTGGTTGAAAAAGGAGTGTACCACTAGACAAAGAAGAGTGCTTTTGTGGCACCACAATGTTGTAACAAACTCCTTTTTTGTTTCATCATCACCACAATGACATACAAAACTCTTACTCCTTCTGCATCTCCTCCCATACACCTTCATTCATTACATCCCATTAGGTCTGATTACTGAAATCCTTTTATTAACATCTCCCAGTTCTACACACCTTTTTTGCCTTTCATTTCAACTGCTTCAGTAGAAATCCATTTAAATCAATCTACTTCCTAGAAGAACCTCTAAAAGAGTTTTCTGAAACTTGTACTTTATGATAAGGAAAGCTGCAAAGCCAATTTTTGCTAGAGAAGGAACACAACTACTGTAAAAATGTCAAGTCTCCTGGAAAGACAGCAGCTCCCAGCATGCTTAAAGAGAAGCTCAACTACCCAATTCAAATCTGTAAGAACAGCACAATTTTACATCTTTTGATCACCAGTGGGCTTATTTTTAGCCAATGTTGGCCATCTAAAAATAATTGCTTCTTGTACTACTGTTATAACCACTTGTCCATTCTTGGGTAAATGGCTTTCTCAAAAATATAAAGCAGAGGATGCCAAAATCTAACCAAATGTAAAACTGGTATCTGTTGGATAACATTGTCTTAAATTGTGCCATCATTTTATTGAAATATGGCCTTTTGCCATTTCAGAGAATTAAACAAAGTAAAACACAGAAAGGAAATTACTCCTCTACACATAAAAAAAACACCAAATGCTAAAGAATGCAGCCCTATGAAATTACCTTTTGGCAAATCTTTGGATAAAGCTTTCATGTAGTAGGCTGTCTGCTCACGAGAGGTGTAGCTATTGAGATGTGCACCAATGCTCTCCACTTCCTTTTCAAACTCAGGACCAGGGTGTTTCTTTGTGCCCTAAGGGTGTATCAGGAAACAAACAGCTAAGGGCATACTATTTCCCAGTTGGTGGCTTGTGTCCTCCTAAGGCTCAAAATTGCATCTATTACTACAGACTTACCAGTTGTGTAGAAGTAAATATGGAAACATAGGCCAGTACTTATAAATTTTTAAAAAAAGAATCACCACTCTTATTATGAAATGAACATATTTGTTTTCCCTTGAAGACTAACTTTTAAATTCAGAACACATCAGGAATTAATTTTTATTTCAGTTTCTTTAACATTTATTGTAGAATTCAATGAGGTCTGCATAGTTCTTTGCTTTCCTGTTAATTGGTATTGCCCATATTTTATTCACTTAGGTCCTACTGGTTAAGGACAACTGTACTTTGACTTCCTATTCCAAATGCAGTATTATCTGGATGCAGTAAGAAGCTGGTAATATATGGTACTAATTGTGTAATTATCTCCTTTTTAACCTATTCGCAATATTTGCCTACTGAATTGTTCCACTTGTGCAGTTTCACATTTGAGGATCCATTTAATACCTCCATGTGCAGGAAGAAGCCCTGTAAATTTGAACTGGCACTCTCTGCAATCTCCATTGCACAAGCGATCAACAAGATTTGAGTCAAATATTTTAAAGCACGTATCTTCAGCCTCCTATTTTTACTGCATACTAAATAATTGCCTATCAGTGGAGAAGAAACCCAAAGTTCTGATTAAATCCAAATGGATTTATTTAAGCTACATTTATTAATAAATTATTGTTCCTTAAACAGAATAGCAAGGAAGTATTACCACAGAGAATGCGACTGTGAACGGATCACTCTGTTTCAATCTTAAATATATTTGTGCTATATGTAGAAAAGTCAAAAATCTGCTACCAACATGTAGAATTCATTTCAATCCCAGACCCACACAAGTTGTCTATATCCGCCCTTTTAAAAATTAGATGGGGAAAAAAGTCAACTAATGATGTTTAATGTATTCAAAATCTGATAATTGAAGCAAATGAGTATTCAAAGTCTCTAAAGATGCACTGGGAAAATATATGGAAACAGTGGTGCTGTGCAAATCATACTATAAAGATAAGAGTTTGTCACCTCACCTTGAAAGCCATATGTTCTACAAAGTTGCCAACTCCATTTTTATCTCCAGTTTCATAGCGGCTTCCTACTCCAATCCATACTCCCACCTGACAAAAACAATAACTCTTTAAATATAATTAATATTACACCTGCCTTAAAAGACTGTACTGAAAGTAAAGGCTTATGTTACAGAGAATGGCAATTGCATTTTGAAGACCCTACATCTGTAAGTATCTCACATGTTACGGTGAGTTTTCACACAACTATCATTAGCAAAGCACAATGTTTCTATTCATTGCAACTGTTCACTGCTGAGGTTTAATATAAAAGAATTAAAGGTGACAGTCCTCACTGGAAACTGCTTTGAAATATCTAAAATGCCCGGAAATCACACATAAGTACTGACAAGGAAACAACTACTGGAATCCACAAAAGATTCCATAAAAAATTCCAAACTACTGAACTGACTGATATTTACAAATTTAGCAAATGTGTCCATATTTCTCCTCTTCTGGATCCACTTAGAATGAGAAGTAGCGTGTTTGTCCAAAATAAGACAGGGCCTTATATTAATTTTTGCACCAGAAAAATGCATTAGGGCTTATTTTCAGGGGATTTTTTTTTCATGTACAACAAGCTACATTTATTCAAATACAGTCGTGACATCTTCTGGTTGTTACACAATGCTGCACAATGGTGGAGGGTGGGCTTTCACTTTACTGGGAGTTATTTTGGGGGTAGGGCTTATATTACAAGCATCCTGAAAAATCATAATAGGTCTTATTTTCAGGTTAGGTCTTATTTTTGGGGAAACGGTACATTATAAGAGGGCATCTTAGTAAGTAATTTTCCCTTGCAGTCCTGACAGCTACTACTTGTGGCTATGTAACTTTTCTGTCGTGAACCACCCAGAGTGGCTTTGGTAGCCAGATGGGTAGTACAGAAATCAAATACCGTATTTTTCGCTCCATAAGACGCACAGACTTTCCACACCCCTGTTCTGTGGGAAAAAAGTGAGTCTTATGGTGCAAAAAATACAGTAAGTAAATACTCAGAAAAGTGATTATTGCAGCACAGACACCAGAATCTGTGCAGTTCTATATAAATTTTCAATCATATTTCAAGCTGACTTAAAACACATCACTGACTTCCTGTATTTTATCATTATGTCTATAGCTGCCCTGGATCAGTGCTTTGTTGTTGAGGGAACTCTTTCTACATTGACCAGTATACTGAGCTAGCCTTGTGCATTGCAGAAAATCTGGAGCGACTTTAACATGTAAAGTCATTCACATGAGGCTTTGCCCAGCTACACTAGGGGCATATTTTGCCATTTCTGTACTTAAAATCCTAGACTGAGAGAAATAATCAGTACAGGTAGATTTAAATAAGAGGAAAATGTACAATCTGTTGCTCATTTAATTTTGTAACTATGTTTGAGCATGTTCTTTCCTGTTTTTCATTTACTGAATATGTTATTTACTGAATATGTTCCCAAATGGGACAAGAGAGAAGCCAACTACTCTTCAATTTAAAAAAACTTACTGTACAGGTAGGCTGGTCATAGTGTTCGGAGGCTACACGAAGGCCATTGTCCAGAGTAGTCACTTGCGTTTCAGGAAGGTTGTAGAGCACATGTGCATATGGTGCAGTACTTCCACTTCTTGCCAAACTCCCTAAGGCTGGCTAAAGAGAAGTCTACTGTCAAACCACTATTTATACAATAATACAAACACATGGAGAAGTGCAGTTCTAAAAATCATGTAGTAATAAACACAAATGTATCATATCTTGGTGATAACTGCACATTAAATAAATATGATGCCCCCAAATGTATGGGACAACAAATATCACATGATGGATGGCAATTACCTATACAGTGGTGCCCCACACAACGGGCACCCCATTTAACGATGAATCCACATAGCGATTAAGTTTTTGCGATCGCAAAAGCGATCACGTTGCGATGTTTTAAATGGTAAAACATCGCTTTGCGATGATCGGTAAGCTGTTTCGCTCACCGATTTCTGCATAGCGATGTTTTTAGAACAGCTGATCGGCTGTTCCAAAATGGCCGCCCGCTGTATTTTCGCGCCCATTCCTCGCTTACCAGGCAGCGAAAATGGCGGCCGTATGGAGGATTTTCTCATAATGGTGAGTTTTTTGCCCATAGGAACGCATTAAACGTGTTTTAAGGCATTCCTATGGGCTTTTATGTTCTGTATAGTGACGATTCCACATAGCAACGATTTTTCCGGAACAGATTATCATCGCTATGCAGGGCACCACTGTAATCTCATAAAGCACTTAGAATCTAATTTTCCTGATGTTCATGCATAATCTAAGATCTTTCTCTGCTAATTGATACAGCACACATAGAAAAACAAACACTACATTTGGGTTTTATTCTCTACCACATAGTTACGGTAAATGTGAATCAGAAACAAACATAACACAGACTGCTAAATAATACAGACATCTTCCAAAAAGACAGTATCCAAAGCTGCATTTCTGCTGGTGCCCCAAAAACATCCAGTACAAAATGATCCCTTTTTCCTGTTGCAGTCTCCTATATGCCTCAAAAGTCACCTCTGACAGGCTATTAAATCCTCAAAGCAGTAGTAAAGGTAGAAGTAGAACTACATTGAGATTGCAGTGCACAATGGTACATTTAGGACAGAAAATTTGATCTGAAGGACTACAGACAGCCTTTAGTTTGTAATGAGGGTGAAAGAGGAGAGTGCAAAAAACAGTCTGAAGCTCAACAAAAAAAAAAAAAACACTAAGATCATGGCCACTGGTCCCATCACCTCCTGGGAAATAGAAGGGGAAGATATGGAGGCAGTGACAGATTTTACTTTCTTGGGCTCCATGATCACTGCAGATGGAGACAGCAGCCCCAAAATTAAAAGCCGCCTGCTTCTTGGGAGGAAAGCGATGACAAACCTTGACAGCATCTTAAAAAGTAGAGACATCACCTTGCCAACAAAAGTCCGAATAGTCAAAGCTATGGTTTTTCCTGTCGGGATGTATGGAAGTGAGAGCTGGACCATAAAGAAAGCAGACCGCCGAAGAATTGATGCCTTTGAATTGTGGTGCTGGAGGAGGCTCTTGAGAATCCCCTGGACTGCAAGGAGAACAAACCTATCAGTTCTAAAGGAAATCAACCCTGAGTGCTCAATGGAAGGACAGATCCTGAAGCCGAGGCTCCAATACTTTGGCCATCTCATGAGAAGAGAAGACTCCTTGGAAAAGACCTTGATGTTAGGAACGTGTGAAGGCAAGAGGAGAAGGGGACGACAGAGGATGAGATGGTTGGACAGTGTCATCGAAGCAACCAATATGAATTTGACACAACTCTAGGAGGCAGTGGAAGACAGGAGGGCCTGGCATGCTCTGGTCCATGGGGTCACGAAGTCGGACACAACTGAACGACTAAATGATGATATTTCAAAATCGTTTTTAAAACACAATATTGCCAGAAAGAAAAAAAAAATTAAAATTCAGCATACTATTACTTATGCACTCCTCATATTTTGTCACCACTGATTTCTGCACACCTCTCCGAGCAAAGTATTTTATCAGAAGAAGCCCTAAGGGCCAAGGTGCGAGACTCTTCAATTAGGCCATAATGGATGCTAAGCAAATACTGTACGATTGGGTTTGAAAATTGTCTATATGATGGCAGAATTGTATATGTGATTCCTGCTTCTTTCATACAGAGTAATATTAACAGTTTCCACGACTGTACTTGGAACTTTTCTCTCTGGTAGTATTCCCATGCCTCTAACAGTAGGCAAGAAACAGTAACACTGTAAGTTTCTACTTTTTGTTACAAGATATTGTTGTTGTTCTGTGCTGTCAAGTAACTTATAACAATCCTAATAGAGCTTTCAAGGTAAGCGAGATACTGTATTTAAGGAGTGATTTTACCAGTTCTACACCACCAGTGATTTTCCATGGATGAGTAGGGATTTGAACCCAGGCTTCTCAGTCCCAGTCAGTCACTCTATCCACTACACCAGACTGGGTAAGATGTGCTGTTAAATTTCTTCTTGTCACATTTATTTAAAACACATATGCCCACCTAGAAATTGGTGGTAACTATGGAGAAATCTATGGCATTTATGTTCTGCTTGTATGCCTCTACAGCTAACTAACTGGCAAATTTGAGAACAGACCTGATCTTGCATAGTTCTTTAATAACCTTATGCCTGGAACTCATCTGCTATTAGAGATACACACAATAAAGCAGATTGAAACTTTGGGACTCAAGCACTCACTGACAAATATTTAACCAATTGCCTCTAAATTGATGCACCTGACATGCCCAAATTCATACTGCAGCAAACAAAAAAATACTCCCCAGGTTATAATGTAACACATTTATGTGGATTTATCGCTCTCTGTACCTGGATGGGGCACAGTCTTTTTTTGGAGTACTACCACAAACACTGGTAGAGGCATGTCTCATGAAATTGCAATCTTAACACCTTTTCAAACCTTCAGGACGATATCCTCAAAAAGATGTCAAGCAAAATGAGAGCAACACATAATTTCTGATGCAATATTCTCCACTTAATCTATTAACAGCTAACAAGGTGAAGGAAGGGCGAAGAGAAAGCAACTGCTGAACATTTAATGAAAACGACTCTGCGGATGCTCAGAGGCACCTTTCTTTCTAAGCCACCTTTATGTGATCCTCCGAAGTAAAAGCACAGCCAACGCAGGAGGGCGGCAGTGTTGTGCTAAAAGACCACGGCTGAAGGACGAGGGGTACCTGCTGCTGCTGCTGCTGCTGCTGCTTCCCCCAGTGTTGTGCTAAAAGGCCACGGCTGAAGGACGAGGGGTACCTTCTGCTGCTGCTGCTGCTTCCACCACTCTCTGAGGGCCTCTCTGCCCCCGCGGAGGGTCGGGCTGGACTGGGCCTTGCCTGACGTGACCTTGGCGGAGGAGAAAAGAGGTGCGTGCGCTTTCCTGTGGACTCCGCCACAGGCCTCATCCGTCCTCCCTCCCCTACCTGTCGAAGGGCGGGCCGGGCCAGCCGTCCACTTACCGGAGCGTGAGGCCCCCGCAGAAGGGCCCATCTGGCCGCAGAGACTGACGCCCGGCAGACCGAGGACGCCGCCATCTTCTCTCCTTGACTTACCACAGGAAGGAGAGAGAAGAGTTACGGCGCCTGCGCCAAATGACGGGTTACCGGCGCGAAGGCCGGAGAAACGCATGCGCAGGAGGGGGTGGCTCCCTCCTCCCAAAGGATGGGTGGGAGTGTGTGAAAGCGAAAAGCTGGTACTACAGTATTTGCCTTTTATTGGGATTGTTAAACTCACATTGGCATCGCCGTCAGAAATCGAAACCTTAAATATTGTCATATACGTTTTAAATGCCGTAAATATTTTATATGTCTTGCACTGGAAGTGAAAGGCAGACGTTCTGCTGCGGACTCTTCCCTTTCCCGCATTTTTCTGGGACGGACCCTCCTTTGGTGGCAGCAGAATTCCGTTTTAAAATCACTCCGGCATCTCAATCCCAAATATTCGATATGCTTTTCATTCTGTCAGGATTCACGCGTGGGGTAGATGATCACCTATTTCTTTGGTCTAGAATCGTTCCCATGATTTTTATTTTTAAAAAATCTCAATCCTCTCCTTTTTAAATTTTGTGTCTGAATTAAATTGCCCAAAAGGTCGCCTGTGTGCGTGACTACATGGGAGCGCATCAGAAGGACTGGGTTTTGCTTGGAAGTCTGCACTGCGTTTAAATCCGGAATCATTGCGGGCGACAGAGACTCCGGGGGAAGTTTTTGGGGAGTTCGGGGTTCGTATGGCACCCACTGTTGCTCTTGGCGGTCCAGCTCACAGCCACTCTTCTTCCTTTCCTCCTCCTAGACCCACCTCTGGCTTTCCTTCTATGGTTTGTTGTAAAACAGCTTGGTTTTCAAACAGGCAATGCTCTGAGACCCCACCCCCCACCCCACCCACCCACTCAGGTGTGGAGCCAGAAATTGGGAGTTCAGTTCCGCAACTGTGCCTCCTTGACAGGGGCTAGACTGGATGATCCATAGGGTCCCTCCCAGCTCTGCAGTTCTAAGAACCAGGCATTATTCGAACAGCAGAAAGAAAAATGACCCTGCTGTTGAGTCGCCCGTCCAAAGATCTAGGCCAGTGATGGCGAACCTATGGCACGCATGCCACAGCTGGCACACAGAGCCCTCTCTATGGGCACACAAGCCATAAGTCGCCATAGAGAATTACTTACCCATCCTCCAATCCCAGATTTTGGCACTCCCCTCTGCTGGTGCAGTGGTCCAGTGGAGGGGTGCAATGGTGACCATTATCGGTCTAGCCCAATGGGGGATTGGAGGACCAGTAAGTATTTCTTTGTTAATACCACCCATAGAAAAAAAAATACGCAAGCATTTAACCTTTGCAATGCAAGGGCAGTTGTTTTCTCTAAACTAAAATCACTGCTTTCTGGTTTTAATTGCAGTATTGGCACTTTGAAATAAATAAGTTGATTTTGTGTTGCTCTTTGGGCACTCAGGCTCAAAAAGGTTCACCATCACTGATCTAGGCTCTGGAGCTAGATGCCTCTTCCACCTCCTTTCCCTCCAATAACTGGCTCAACGGCCCTTCTGTTTCACTTCAAGTGGTAAGGAGTTTGTGTCAGCTCTGTGTCTGACAAACAAAATGTTACCTGGAACCTTATGCAATTTACCAAAGAGTAAGATGTTTCAAACTATAAAAAGGTATTCAATAGCATACTGCATATAAAACACTATAGTTTTGTCCTTCCGTCAAAAACTATAAACAAATATTAGTTTTAAAGGAAAACTAAAACCAAGCTTTCTTGTTATGAATCTTTTCTCCCTGGAGAAACTGCTATATGGAAAATTTGCTACAATAGATAATTCTAATAAAACAGAATGATTTAAAGCCAGAAGCAGATGAACATCATTAATTAAGACATATAAACATGTAACACTTCTAAAAATGTATTTATATTTTATTGCTAGATATATCACAAATCATATTATTCAAACTCATGACAAATGTTCTTTAAAAATATCCGAAGGAATAAAAAGGGGATTATTCTGTGGAGCATTGCTATATCAGGGAAAGTTTAATTTAGCTCATTTCCCGGGGTGCTTCTTTTCTGTATGCAGGGAAATTTCTATATAGGGAACCATTAAAAAGAAAATAATACTACCACAGTTGTAGTTATTTTCTAAAAACTGCATTTGCCAGAACTTTACCGTATTGATCTAACACTCCATTCTGTACAGTGTCTGTCTGGGCTTCAAGCCAAATTAAAAACATGTTGTTTCTACTTGTGCATCCAGGAGCACAGCAAAAAGGTTTGTCATGTGCTGAGCTGTGAACTGCACAACACTGCATGACTGAAACACAAGTTTCATTGACAATAAATAAACACATATGACATGTCTACAATTTCTGAAGATATTTTCTCTCTAAATAAAATTGGAGCAAGTTTCCTTTGGCTTGGGTGCACCTTGTGATCCAAATGTTAGGTGCTCATTATAGGTTACCAGTCACTCACTGCTCAACTCCATTATTTACTGTACTGCTTTGTGCAGAATAGGCAAAGATGTCTGACATACAAGATTCCACTCCAACCTTGGAAAAATTACTTTGGACCACAATTCACATAACCTCTCAGCCAGCACTGACCATGCTGCCAGAGGATTCTGGGAACTGTCGTGCAAAAAAGCAATTTTACTAAACTTTACTTCACCTACCTAAAACCAATTCACCAGCACATCCCACTAATGGGACATTTATGCCGCAAACCATTCAGACTATATTTCATTTATTATTTCAAATATTTATAGATTTTCAGAAATGTAAACACCAAGATGCTTATTATCTATAGTTGACAGATCCATGTCTTGCATCCTGTGCAGTTATTTTTGACATGCTGAACTTAGGTTTAGTGGAGTGAGGTAAGTTCAGTGAAAGCTAGTATGTCAAGCTGTCTCATACAGAGTCCAACCCCTGGACAGTCGCCCACTCTGGCCAGTGGTGACTCCCCAGGGGTACAAACAGGCACCGAACTAGGCTTTGCCTGTTGCCTACAACCTAATCACTTTAATCAGAAATGGCAAGTATCAAACATAGGTCCTGCTATGTGCAAAGTGTGTGCAGAGGCCTATTCCTTTGTATCCAAACAGGAATGTATACATTCAAGTTATACATAGCTTGCTTTAAAATTCAGATATAAGAGAACAGACATAAATAAGGTACAGATGTCTTCCATGGAGAATGGTTGCTGATATTCTATACACACATGAAAGGACTTTCACATTGGCTGACAATATGTTGCTCCCCAGCCAAGTGGAACATCCTTATCCCTGAAGAATTTTTCTTTGTCCAGAACTATAGGGCCTTGCAATGTGTCCACAGGAAGACCTGAAGATCTGGTGCCTAAAAACATGTTCTCAGCAATGATTGATCTTTTAGGTTTTCCAAAGTCAAAAGAAGAATCTCCAGGGAAAGCCATCAGGTTCTCCAAATTTCTCATGTATTCAGTACTCTTCATTTCTTCAGTAGATTCCCAGTGGTGGAGAATTCTTCATCATTTGCTTTGACAAGATTTCATCAGTCACATCTGTGAATGTGCAGCACTGTTTTCTGCTCCTTGAAAGGAGCAGATGAATCCGCTGTTTAGATTTTTGTGCTAAGGCTGACCTATGGAAGGTGGGGGGGAAAAGATAACTGGCATTGGTTTCTTCTGACAGCAGCTGAAAACAACTTTATAATTAGTTTTTGATCACCACCCCAAATATTCATAAGTATAAGACAGACATATTCTTTCAGAGTCAGCACACCAATAGCATTCTACATATCCATTGAAGACACTCCCGAGAAAACTTATCCAGGGTAAACATCCTGTACAAATAGGATAAGGAACAGTCTCCCTCTTTTTATAGCATTCTCTCCTTTGAAGATCGAAACTGCATGGAGTGGGGTGGACAGTGTCAGAGTCAGACTCAAGAGATCTGGGTTTAAATTTTGGCTTAGCCATGGAAATTCACTAGAGGGTGGGAACACCTTCAGTGCCTCACCTTGTACATCCTACAAAAGTCATCTTAAGTCAGAATTGACTTCTCAGCACATAGCACAAGATCCATCTCCCTTTTTATTCTTTGGTTAGGTTTAAAAATAAAACCTACTAGTGCTGATCGTTGACATGATGACAGAGGTATTGGTGCACCAATCTATACAGTGAAGAAAGCTTTCGATATTATAAGCCCAGTATTACAGATCTACGAACAAAAGCTGAAGCTGAAAAGTTTTGGCTTTCAGGGCATCTCAGCAAGTTCATGGAAAAGAATGTTAGAGCGCTAGATCAGTGGTCCCCAACCCTTTTAACATTGCAAACTGGTTGGGGAAGGTGGAGCATCTCCCCCCACTCCCACACATGCGCGAAGGAGCAGGCATGTGCTCTCGCGAAGGGGTGGGGGCGCTCATGCGGGCACACCTACACACGCATGTGCAAAGGGCAGGGGGCGCTTGTGTACATGCACGAAGGGGGCACTTGCGTGGGGTTGCGTGCACTTGTGCACACGTGCGAAGGGGCTGTGCGGTGGGGAGTGTGTGCAGGGTGGGTGGGAGATCTGTCTCTGCAGCCTAGTCTGGCCCAGGCCACAGACTGGCACTGGGCCGTGGACTGGTGGTTGGGGACCCCTGCTCTAGATCAGTGGTTCTTAACCTTTGTTACTCGGATGTTTTTGAACTGCAACTCCCAGAAACCCCAGCCACCACAGTTGGTGGTGAAGGCTTCTGGGAGTTGCAGTCCAAAACTTCTGAGTAACCCAAGTTTAAGAACCAGTGCGCTAGATCATCTGAGATAGTAGACTTTATAGGAACTGTCCAAGGTGCTGAAACCTATCCTCCCCATAGATTCATTAACGTGGATAGCTCATTTAATGTTTGGATTAGAGCTCAGAGTGGACACAGGCATGCACTCATACATGCATGTGTGACATCAGAGTCACTAGCCTCCACTGCCTCCTGATTTGCACAGGTTGTACTTTCTTAGTGTCGTGGTTTTAAAGCAAATACACAATGTAGAGGACACACATACTTTTGGCCTAAGATAGAATCTTCTTAGCTCATAAGACAGAGAACACCCCTTATAGTTCATTGCAAAAA